AGAGAGTCATCGATCAGCTGCCTCTTGCACACCCCCTACTGGGGATATGCCCGCAACCAAGGTACATGCCCTTGACCGGAATCGAACCCGGGACCCTTCAGTCCCCAAACCAACGCACTAGCCATTGAGCCAAACCCGTTTTGGCAATTTTTTTTTAATTGTATTGTTTTGTTGTTGTTGAGTTGTCTGAGCTCTTTATATATTTTGGATATTAGCTCCTTATTGGAGGTGGTGTTTGCAAACATCTTCTCTCATTCGTTTGGTTGCCTTTTTGTTTAGTTGGCAGTTTCTTCACTTGATCTTAGCCAAAAGGATGAGAAGCGATGGGCAGTCTCTTTTGCTGTGCAGAAGCTTTCAGTTTGACACAGTCGCGTTCATTTATTTTTGTTTTGCTTCCCTTGCTTTTGAGGTCCAATTTATAAAATCTTCTTCAAGATCAAGGTCCATACGCTTTTAGTACCTGTCAACATGGTGTCTGTGACTGTCATTATTTTCATTAACAAACAAATGCTACACTAAGCATTCCTGGCCATGGCTCCTTGGCACATACAGGGAAGCCCCTCTATTCACACCTGGAGTCAGAATTGCTGGGTGGTAGGAGATGAGCATCTGTGTTACAGATCCACAAATGGTTACACGGATTCATAATCCCACCTGCAGTCACAGCGCACTCACACCCACCTTCACTTGGCACTATCAGATTCTCCTTTTGCCCATAAGAATGTAGTGAAGTGATATTTCACTATTAAACTCTTGGTTCCCTAATTCCTAAGAAAATAGATAATATTTTTGTATTTTTATTGGCCATTTTGGTTTCCTATTCTGTGACTTGTCATTCATGTTTTATCCGATTTTTATTAGGTAATTTTTCATATCCTTTGTGGGTAATAGGCTTGAAAAATCTTATCCCAGGTTGTGGTTTGGTTTTTAACATTCTTTATAGTGTCTTCAGTTATACAGAAGTTTGTTTGCTTTATGTAGTCAATCTCCACAATCATTTATTCTTTCTTGTGGTTAAGAAATTATTCTAGCCCGGATTGTGTGATTCAGTGGTTGAGCATCGACCTATGAACCAGGAGGTCACAGTTTGATTCCTGATCAGGGCACATGCCTGGGTTGCGGGCTTGATCCCAGTTTGGGATGTGCAGGAGGCAGCCGATTGATCGCTCATCATTGATGTTTATCTCTTTCTCTCTCCCTCTAACTTTCTCTCTGAAATCAATAAAAACATTTTTTAAAAAGAAATTATTTTCTACTCTCATACAGATATCTTTATTTCTATTTTTTTTTTGTAAAAATGTTTGCATAAAACTACATTGGAGCTATTTTCATGTTTGTTTATTTGCCATAGGGACAGGCAATTGTCCAGCATCTCTTCTTCTCCTTCTCCTTCTCCTTCTCCTTCTCCTTCTCCTTCTCCTTCTCCTTCTCCTTCTCCTTCTCCTTCTCCTTCTCCTTCTCCTTCTTCTTCTTCTTCTTCTTCTTCTTCTTCTTCTTCTTCTTCTTCTTCTTCTTCTTTTTTTAGAGCAGATTATGGGATTTTATTTATTTATTCTTCTTTTTAAAAAAAATATATATTTGATTGACTTTTTACAGAGAGGAAAGGAGAGGGATAGAGAGATAAAAACATTGATGAGAGAGAAACATTGATCAGCTGCCTCCTGTACATCCCCACCTGGGGATGTGCCCACAACCAAGGTACATGCCCTTGACCGAAATCGAACCTGGGACCTTTCAGTCTACAGGCCGACGCTCTATCCACTGAGCCAAACCAGATATGGCCAGCTTCACTTCTTGATGAGTCCATCCCGCCCCACTGACGTGTAGAGCATCCTTTCATGGAGCAAGTCCCCAGTGGACGTGGGTTTATTGCTGGGCCCTGTATTCTGTTCCATTTTTCTGCTTGTCAGACCCCTTGAAGTTATTGATGCATTGCTTTAATTTCTAGTCTTATTGGACTAGGAAGCCTTAATTTATGGCAGCGCAGGTACCGTCCTTATACATTTTCAAAGTTGTCTTGGCTTTTCCTGGGCCTTTAAGGTTCCGCAGAAATGCTTGGACCAGTCCATTTAACAAAATGCTGTAAGGGTTATAATTGCAATCATATCACAGGCATTTCAAAAATAGATTATTAAAAGGTTCAGTAGTTCTTCCAGAAGAGCTCTTTTTTTAAAAAAAAAAAATAGTATTTATTGTAAGGAGCAGCACAGTTTACAGATGAAGAAGGAAGAGTTTCTCCACACCCTCCAATAGCCTCTTCCCGACCCTCCTATTTCTGTCAGTGTCATCGCCTTTCCCATCGCCACTGCCCAAATCCTCAGAGTCACCATTAGAGTCTTTTTTCCCGTCACTTACTTTGTCTAGACATTTCTTTACCAGTTTGCCTCCTCTGACTTTGGATTTCCTGTGTTTTCCAACCTTCCCTTTCTTTCCCTGACATTGCTCTGACTCACACTCTTGTCCCTCATGCTGGGCTGGGGCAATAACTCCCAATTTATACCCCTGCTTCTCAAGGTTCTCCTTCCTGGACGTCTGTTCTGATTACTGATTAACGGTCCGGAAGCATACCCAGCCCCTCCCAGCTCCTCTGTCTGCAGGATAAAGTACAGCTCTTCTGCCCAGCGACAGTCACCGGCCCCACCTTACCTGCCCAGCCTCTCAGCTGTCCCCTGCTTCCCCACTAGCAACCTTGAGTCCTGCCAGATCCAGCTCCTCGGTCTGGGCTGCCTGCCCCTGTCTCCTCCCCACCCCAGAGGTGCCCTCCGCTGCTCACCACTCTCCTACGGCTGCCACGCCCGCAGTTCCCTGGGAACAGGCAGCTCCTCAGACTACCGGCCCAGAATGGCTTTGAACATCCTTGGTGCTTCTATCTGCACATGTGGTAGCCCCGCGGGGTGAGACTCCCTCTCACTGTGTAAGGGAGGGTTTCTCCAGCTCAGCGCTATGGAGCCTTTGGCCAAGATAGTTCCTCGCTGCGGGAGGGTTTCCTTTGTCTCCAGGCCAGGATTCCTGGTCTCTGGGTGCCCACTACACCCTCTAGGGGTGACACTTGAAACTGCCTCCAGACGTTGCCAGAAGTCCCCCGGGGGACAAAATTGACTCTGGCTGACGACGCTGGTGTAAGTAAGGGAAGACTGGCGTGCCAGCTGCACCGTGAGCAACAGGTCCCTGGAGCTAGATAGCAGCTGCCTGCCGGCACGAACCACAGAGCGGCTAAGGGGTTTCTCGGATACTCTCTGGCAGTTGGCATTCACTGTGGTTCAGAGCACGTGCAACAAGTTGGCTTAGTACATGCCCCGGTGGCCTCCTGACGCACACTGACCACATCCGGCTGTGCAGAAGAGTCTGCTCCTTGCCCTGACTGGTTTGGCTCAGTGGATAGAGCGTGGGCCTGCAGACTGAAGGGTCCCAGGTTCGATTCCTGTCAAGGGCATGTACCTTGGTTGCAGGCACATCACCAGTGTGGGGTGTGCAGGAGGCAACTGATCGATGTTTCTCTCTCATCAATGTTTCTGACTCTTTATCCCTCTCCCTTCCTCTCTGTAAAAAAATCAATGAGAGAGAGAAAGAGAGAGAGAGAGAGAGAGAGAGAGAGAGAGAGAGAGAGAGAGAGAGAGAGAGTCTGCTCCTTGAGGGGACATCAGGAAGAAGGCTGGGAAAGCATTTGGGTACCATAGAGTCACAGCTCCCATTCGTCAGTGTCTAAAAGGCTGTTAAGGGAGCATTTGAGATCTAGTACCCAGCATATGTTGTCAGCTTGGCTCAAATAAACTCACAAAAATTAACAAAATAAGATAAAACAAGATCACGCAGCAGGAAAACAAAATAAGATGTGGGGGAGCCACGTTTTGCTAAGAAGGTGCTAGGGCCATGTGATGGGCAGGTTCCGTACGTCCAGGGAACACACTGAGTTCCATCCTCAGCCTTCCACTTTCAAAAGCGATTCAGTCATAGCAATCTAGTTGGCCGGCACCGTCAGAATACAGGTTCACCTAAGTGTGTTTTTTTAAAAAAATGTTTTCATTGACTTGAGAGAGAGAGAAACATCAATAATGCGAGAGAATCATCGATTATCTGCCTCCTGCATGCCCCCTACTGGGGAGCGAGCCCAAAACCCAGGCATGTGCCTTGATGGAGAGTCAAACCATAACTTCCTGGTTCACGGGTCAACACTCAGCCACGGAGCCACACCAGCCTGGCTCAGCTAAGTTTTAAGAACATTGTTCAGAACTAGAGGCCCGCTGCACGAAGATCCGTGCAAGCATAGGCCTTCCTTCCCCTGGCTTCGCGCCCAGCTGCCAGGGAGCCTGCAAGTCTGGAGGTACGGTCCATTTGCATATTTCTCTTTTATTCGTATAGATAACCACTCCTCTCAAAGGATATAGGCCCTTCCCCAAGAAGGCTGTTGTGTATGCCTCAGGGGACTCTGTGGGGCTTGGGTCATTTCGGCACCCTCCTGAGTCCCTGGATGGCCCAGCAGTCTGCAAAATGCTCTAGGCCAGGGGTCGGCAAACTCAGGAATCAGCAGGGCCAAGTATCAACAGTGCCACGATTGAGATTTCTTTGGAGAGCCGAATTTTTTAAACCTACACTTCTAGCGCCACTTCTTCAAAATGGACTCGCCCAGGCCGTGGCATTTTGTGGAAGAGCCACACTCAAGGGGCCAAAGAGGTGCATGTGGCTCGCGAGCCGCAGTTTGCCGACCACCGCTCTAGGCTGCTGCCCCAGTTTGAATGAGCATTGGGGCCAGGATAAGTGGGAGGCCCAACGTGCAGGCTTATCTCCGGGGCTAGGTTGCCATGCCCCTCATTGGCCTCCAGGGGTTGTTCTTCTCTAAGGTGTCAGCCATGACAGACAGACACTGGGCCGGCAGCCATCCTCTCCGCCCCCAGGCTGGCCGTGGAGGGCCCCCTCTCCTCTGTTCCTCTCAGCTGTCCTGACTTACCACGGGGATGCTCATATCCTCCTTCATCGCCCTCTGGGGAGGGCCCCTGACTCACCCCTCAGAAGCTGGGCTGCA